AATGCTTTTCGTTCACCCATGGTACCGAACCTGTAAATATTGGCGTTATATATATATATATATATATATATATATATATATATATATATATATATATATATGGCGGCGGGGAGGGGACAAACTTGGTTGATCTGTATTCCAATTTCGTTTGCAACAATATTGATGCGTTTTATGATGAACAAATGCAACGTTATTTTCAGGGGATCCCAGCTAAATTCACCTGAAACTTGGATCACAAAATATGTGTCAACAGGTTCCTTTTCGAAATTCGCTGTTATCTGCAAGGGATTTTAATGACCATAGTAACTCTTGGTTGATTGCATGAATTAGGAAGAATCATCAACCTACCGAACGGCTGAAATCATTCGCGAGCATTTATTCCTATCCTCGTCATACTTACGTGAGGCAATCGGTATTTCGAGAAAACATTTGAGGGCGATAGAACTGCTGTAGACTGTGTTTTCAATTGTCATGTATCCGAAATTACTACTCACAAGTAACTGAATGAACGTGAATAAAAAAAATCTAACATGGCTGGTTCAATTGAAATAGCGTACCCGAAACTGCCAGGAATTCCTGATTTGGTGGGAGGCTTTCGATTGCACTTAACTGACAGTACACTGTGTCTTTGTTATTTTCTACGGGGCCAAAAAAGGAATGACTTTACCGAAAAGCTACAGGTTCGCAAACATGAACTGGTAATCTCCGTCAGCCCCGGTTTGCGCTGATTGACACAGTGGTAACACACGCCATTCCATGCGAGAGCGCAGGAATTCCAAGCTGGGATGTGACAGTAGGTATGCACCACCACGATGAGCTTTCATGAGAGAAAAACTCGGATCTAGAGGTTAATGGGTGTATGACTGAATACATGCACAGAGAGTCGTGCATGAAGATGAAGTCCGAAGGATGGCCGGTTCAAACAAAAGTTAGGCATCAATCAAAACAACCTGTCTTCAAAGTTCGGATACAAGAGACAAACGGATTACTGATATGCGCTGTAGCGTGTTCAATCTGAAAAGCCTGAAACGATTTAAAAAGTTGAAAACTAAAACACGAATTCAACCTCCCACCTCAATATGCAGAAAAGGATGCTCACCTGAGGCTAAGCCAAACTACTTACTGCGATGACAGTAGTTCAGTGCAAGGAATTTGGACAATTGTTGTCAGAAGCCGATGCCATTCCTGAAATGTTATTCAAACAAGATCGCGAGCAGCGAGCGGGGGGGATTGTACACCAAACATGGGTATCCCACTCCCAACTGTGATCAAAATTTGAACCATGATAGGCTGAACCTTCAATACGCCCACACTTAAATCTCTAAACAAAAAATCCAGCTCCTCAGAAAAAGTACATGAAAACTATCACACACCAAACACCGAAAAACCTGCCACATTTGGGTTTATTGCAATTTAAACAGAACAGAAGGTCACGCAATTGGAGATCACCATTATATATTATAAACATCGCCATCCAATTACTTTCCAGCTCATTTTGTAGCATTCGATGGTAAAATAACTACTGGAGCCAAAAATACAAAATGTACACTAAAGACAGTTGAAAATAAATATTAAGAACAGCCGACAGTTAGTAAATCGAAAACTGAACTGAAGCAAGTGCATACTTAAAGTGACATTGATGAACTTACGCAACCTCAAACAGATACTCGGCTCCCTCGCGTGTTTTCAAACGGAATACATTGGGTTTCTTCAAATAATCGGTCGCTCGTGAAGCGATGGCATGCGCAATCCGAATCACTGCCTCCGGGGGTGGGATTGCCGGTGGAACAAATGTCGGAGGCGGTGGAAAAGCCAGGGCTGCCTGCGATGTAGGCCCAAAACCCAAAGGTGTTGGAATTGGTATGGCCGAGGCGATAGTGGATTGATTCTCGGTCGAATATGGGTGAGCGAGATTGTTGTTTGTTGCTGCTGTGCCGTTCGAGGCTGAAGGATCATCCGGCTGAGCACTGTACTCAGGAGATGGGGATGGTGAATGGGAATTAGTTGCCTTAGCCTCGGGACTGATCGATGGGGAGGAGAAAACCGGGTCCGGTTGATCTGATTTCGGATGCGGATGAGGTTCCGTCTCAGCAGCATTCGATTGATGACTGTGAATTAAAGTGACGACCCAAAAACAGATGTGAACGATAGAAACGCGTGAGGAAAAAGTAGGGAGAAAAACAAGAGTCAGTCACCGAAAAGGAGAATTTGAGTAAGCCGAAATATTTGAGTATGAACTGATATATATTTGCATATATAAGATACTGCACCAACGCAACCATGGGTTGAAAGCCAACTTTTCAAAAGGACTCCATTATGACATGAGAATATGATATAACACGATAATATTAGGCAGATTAGGTGACAGGAAGAAGCTATGATCCGTACGTTCATACAAAAGTAGATGAGAAGAGTAAACCAGAAGAAAAAAGAAGTCATGGGACTTTGCGTTTCATCGGAACCGGTGCCTGATGGTTTAGATCGTATGCTCCACCAACGACGCCAAATACATTATTTACCTGCTCCCGATCGAAATGAGAAACAGAATGAATTCTCCCTGGACTAATAGATCGTTATGGAGCCGTAAAACAAACGAGGATTTAAAAATTACCGTATTTAACATTATATTCACAATTGGAGAAAAAACTGTACGGTTTAGAGTACGCCCATGACATGAGCTGTCTGTTCAAATGTACGGAGGACGTGCAAAGCGCACTTGAGGAACTACCAACTGTTGTCACTACATTCGGTATGTGCTTTGGATCTTCAAAGTGCAAAGCGATGCTGCAAGAATGGGTGTCGCCTAATCCCGCTTTTAAGCTGAATGGCCAGAAATTAGTCTTAGTGAATTGCTTTCCCTGCTTAGGTAGTTGTGTTACCAATGGAAGTAACGCAACAAACGAGATAACCTTCAGCAGTTCC